ACTACAAAACAACAAAAAAATAGGTGTATTGCAACAGACGGAGAGAACTTTGAAGGTGACTGAAGTTTAAATATGTAAAAATAGATACATAATTTTAAGTAGATAAATTCCATTTTTTGGGTGGGTCTTCCCTTCTAAAATAGGAAGGAGATTCTGATACATGCTTCACCATGAAGAAACCCTGAGAACAGAGTGGTAACTGAAATAAGACAGATGCAAAAGGAAAATATGTTGTGATGCCACTTATTTGAGGTACTTGGAGGAGTCAAATACATAGTGATGGAAAGTAGAACAGTGGCTACCAAGAACTGCAGAAGGAGTTCTTGTTTAACAAGTTTCAGAAGGATGATGCAAAAATTCTGGAGATGGATGGTGATGTTAGTTACACAACAATGTGAATGTACTTAATGCCACTGAACTATATATACTTAAGAATGACTGAAAGGCTGGGCTCGGTCACATATGTGACTATATGTGACATGTGATTATATGTGATAGATGTGATTATGGACTCTTAAGTCCATCCAGATTGCTGTGAAGTTAATGATTTTGTTCTTCTTTATGGCTGCATAATATTCCATCCAGCCTGTAATCCCAGCACTTCAGGAGGCCGAGGTGAGTGTATTGCCTGAGCCCACAAGTTCAAGACCAGCCCAGGCAGCTTGTATTATATTTCTATTAGATCACACTGGTCTAAAAACTCTTTGTGTTTTGTAGTTAATTATATTGGCCATAATTCACCAATACCTTTTTTAAACAAACAAAACAACTTTGGCAAGATTTATTTGAACAAAGTCAGCAGATTGACCTCTATTATCTACTGCCTTGAAACCACACCGGAATACAGCACACTAAGGCAGGGAGTCATTTTTACTTACAAGCTGCTCCAGGCATGGAGAACCAAATGGGTCTCAGAGATGCACTCAGGCTGGAGAAAGGGCAGTTGTTGATATCAGGGTGGTAGATGGTTTCTAATGCCCATAGGGAGTTTAAGAACTAGTGAACGTGTTTCCAGGGTCCAGGGACAGGGTTAACATTTGAGCAAAGGTATTTCACTAGGAACTGGTATTTTGTCATTGTGCTACATAAGAAAGATAGCATACAGTGATGAAACATGAAATGCCCATTCCCCACATCTCAAGTTTTGCCAAAAGAAGAAACTTTTGGCCTCTCTCTGCCCTCTTCCCCCCTTCTCCCTTAATAAGGTAGTGACATCTCACTGGCGAATTTAGAAGACAGCACGAAGGCTGAAAACAACTGCCCCTTCCCTCTGATCAGTCTGTCTACAGGACAGACCACTTTATGTGCTGAAGACACAGGCCCTCAAGTTTGGCTGGGGGTCCCTTCTCTTACTGTCCCCAAGATGTGGGGCTGGGTTTTGGGATAAGTGTGCTTATCCTCCAGGATAGATGAACTCCTGCTTTCCTGCAGAGGGGCTGCCCTAGGGTCCCAACTGAACATGGGGGCTCCAAGTATAAAAGAGCTTGACGGAGGCTGTAGATCCATGCACGATCTCCAATTCTATTTTATTCAACTCAAAATCAGCACTGTGAATTCCATTTGTCTGATTCCTGTGTCTCATTTCTCAACTGGTTCCCAGTTTGATATGGAGAGAAAGACATTGGTAATTATCCTCCCCAGACCTCCTAGTAGCAGTTTTCAAAACAGTCAGAACAACAACTGCTTAATATTTCATATATGCCTTTGAAAAAATACCCAGTTGATGAAAGCCAAGGCATGAGCCAAGTTCTATAAGGAAACATTATGCGGAAAGCAGGGAAAACATTTTGCAGGACAGCACAGGTGGCTCTAAAATAGCAGGACAGTAATCCAGAGTTACAATCATGACCGTACCGTGTGCAAGGCATCTTAGTGTCTCCTACACGTGCCGAGCACTTGCTAGGTTCAGGTACCATGAGGGTGCTTTCTTTAGCTTATTTTGTCAGTTAAGTCAAAACTACGCTGGGATCTTCCTTAAACAGACTTTAGCTTCATACAGATACAGGTGTTGGGAGATTCTTCAATCTAATGACAGCATCAGGTTGCAGGGAAGGCAGACGCATAAGAGCAGAGAGACTGTGAAATATGAACACTCTGACAAATGTGAAATAATTGACAATATTTTTAAGGAGTTATACAGACCAGTTTCCAGAAAATAGCTGGAATACTACTAGAAAGACACTAGTCAGTGATTTGCAAGAGCTAGGAGAGAAACTGCTAAGACAGAGAGGTAGTTGAAACCCAGAATATATTTTAGTAACAGTGACATTTCTTGAAGGTAAATATGAACACAATCAGGGTAGCAAAACACTCAACAGTATAAAGCAACTGACAAATTTGAGATGTGGTGGGGTGGAACTTTTTCTGGTGGTTGGATATTCAAATAGATTAGTACAGTGCATAGGTATCCATAATTTTCCAGATCAAAAGAAAAAATGGTGAAATGAGAGACAAGCTAATAATATGCATCAGAAAATGAAATATTATTTCCACAATTTATTTTTGATGTTTGATATCCATGATTCTCCATCTCCTAAGTAAACATAACTTCCATTTTACTCTGAAGAGCTCGAGAGTGTTGACTTCTTTGACATAAAATTTAAAGTGCCTCATACTTTTATTTATACAGAAACTGTGTTTTAAATGTTTCACTCAAGAATCTGAAGAACATATTTATTAGCAAAATGTGTGGGCAGAAAATTCTTTCCTTATCCACAGTTAAGAAAATGTAGAAGGGTATTCATTTGTCCCTGGAAAATCTCCCCAAGAAATGTATGTTAGGCTTGTAATTAGCGCCGAGAATGAGCTTTAAAAAATTCCATATGAATTCTTCTTCCTGGCTCTGGTGCTACTGAAAGCAACTTTATTAGTCATCAGAGTGTGTCTGGGATCAAGCTCACTCAGTGACAGGAACAGGAAGGGATCCAGCTTGATAATGGATGTGCAAGGTCTGGGTGCCTGAGCCCACTTTGCTCCGGGAGTCTTCCCTACCCAAATCAGCTGTGCTCCCACAGCTGGGGGAGGGCACAGCCATGTTTCTTAGCACAGGAATATTCTCACAGGGTTCCATACTGCAAACTGGTTCACTTCCCAGCTACCACTTCCCAGTTCTTTCCTCTGAATCGAAAGCCTTTTTTCAAGTTCTCAGCATAAACTTTGTCTTACCACTTCTGAGTCTTTCCAGAGCCAGACCTGTCCTTCTTTATATTCTCTCATTGCCTGTGCTTCTCACTCCATCTCCATCTCTTGCATGGTAGCAGCTTTCTTCTTCCCTGGCTCTCTGCACTTCTTTCTGCACATGGAGTCTGCTGCTTACCCTGACAATTTCCATGTCCTTGTGTTGTACCCTCTCATTTGCAATCCACACGAGGTGGCTTGCCTTGCAGACTGTGAGGATGAAAGAATAGCCTCCCCAAGATGCCCCTTCATTCCTGACTGTTAGATCAATATCCATCTTTGTTCTCCACACCAGAACCCTTCATCTCAATGTACCCCACAAGTAGCAAAGACCAAAATCAGGGGAAGGCAAGACACAAAGCTCTGAGACATGTCAGAAAGGGATGGGAGTGAGCCAGTCCTGTATGGCAAATGCTCGTTGCTCCTTATAGCATTTTTAATTGGTCAGACTTTTGAAACCTGGCATAGAGAGGGGCCATCTTCATGGATCATCTCACCTCAAACCATCACACAGTTCCTACATCTGAGAACTTTCTCTTTAGAATTACCACCTTTGTTTGATCTGAAGAGCAAGGTCCCCCTCAAATTTGACCTACTTAGACCAAACTCTCGCTTGCGAACACCCCATACTGGAGGGCTCTCAACTGTGATGAATTCTAGGTTACCTTGGAAATGAGGCAGAAACTGCAAAGAGCCTGACCAGCAAAGCAGAAAGGAGGCCAAGAAAACCCAACCTCATTTACGATATAAACAACACTATTTTATCTCTTACAATGACAGAGTTAGAAACTGAGTAATAACTCTGGAAGGAAAATTCATGATTATATATTCTTTCTAAAAACAAGTCCTCTAGGTTGTAAAATGCTAGCTAGTAATTAAAATTGGAACATGCTCAAACTAAAGGGTTTATAATAATATTTACAAACAAGTCCCTTTTGAGAATGTAATCCTTCCTTGTACCTGTACTCTGTATAGTTCTAACTCTTTGCTTCATGATTTTGACACATAGCAAGATTAGGTCCTGGGATTTTCATCATCAGTCTTTTAAAAAGAGAAAATGTCAATTACATTTTTTTTACTACAATTGTATTTTAAAATGTATATAACTATCTGATTATGTTTTGCTTTATTATAAAGTGTTTTATAAGCATCATTCTTCTTAAGAGAGGCACCAGAAATACTATTTTAATAAGACAGGGTTTTTAAAAACAGAAAATGAAAACCAGGAGACAAAGGGTGCTTTGACAGTAAGCCGAGTTTTATGAATGAAAAAAAAACAACCCCCCAAAATGAAGCTTAAGTGGCATTTTACATGTATGTTTTCAGTTGTTTAATAGTTTTAACAATTACTTTATCCAGGACCCTAGAATTATCCACAAACAACATAGGCACAATTGGCTAATTTTCAAAAGGATCTTCTGGCTAAGAAATAAAAAAAAGAAAAGCAAACCCCAAAATGTGGACCCCAAGCCCATTCAGGAGACATCCAGTGAACACGTTGCTCCTGATTTTTTTTTTTGAGTCTGAGTCTCACTCTGTTGCCCAGGCTAGAGTACAGTGGCATGCTCACAGCCACTGCAGCCTTGACCTGCTGGGCTCAGGTGATCCTTCCGCCTCAGCCTTCCAAGTGGCTGGAACTACAGGCACGCGCCACCATGCCTGGCTAATTTTTTGATTTATTGTAGAGATGAGATGTCTCCAAGTTGCCCAGACTAGTCTCGAACCCGTAGACTCAGGCAATCCTCTCACCTCGGCCTCCCGAAGTACTGGGATTTTAGGTGTGAGCCACCGTGCACAGCCTGCTCTTGCTTCTTTAGCAGGCTGATCATGTTTGGCCCAGAATTCCTGAATAATGAAGATTTGCCTCTGAAATTTCCCATAAAGTTTTGCAGTGTTCCATTTATACCTATGACAGTCCAATGCTAATCCAGAAGCATTTTTTTTCAGATAATTGAGAGTATATTTTTTCTAACATAATCCATGCACAATACAGTGATTAAGCCATATTAGCAGGAAATAAAAGCCTAATAAAAACCTGCTGAAACATAATTGAGAGTCTGCATGAAATCAAGACCATAGAAATATTTAGTATTGCATCTCAGTTTCTTTGAAGAACTTTCAAAAGATATTTAACACTAAAAATACTTAGTACAAAAACAGAATTTATATTCTTGATTTTTGTTCTGAAAATTTTCACTCAACATATTAAATAAGCATGGAAAAATATTTGCATTAAATTCTTCCACATAGGGCCATTTGTCATCCATTCATATGTTTGACTACTTTACTTCTTTACCAAAAATCGTGTGATGTCTGATCCGTGCTTTGATGTTAGAGACTGTCTTCTCACCTGGCTTCTTTCCTTGGCTTGTCTGGCAGTTCTCTAAAAATTCAAAAATATGCATGCACACATTAGGAAAAAAGTACTGGCCACAGAAGCTCAAAATTTCTTTGCATTGTCAGTCTGGAAATATCTAGATTGTCACTACCCCCATTTACCAGTACTTGGCCATCAGAGGGGTTCACAACCCCCTCTAACGCCACAAGGCAGAGCACCTCAGCCGTTCTGGCAAGTGCTCTGAGGTTCTAGGTTCATTAGGATCAGACTGGGAGAAAGCATACAACTTTGGTGGTTGTTCTGCTGCCCAGTGAAATCATGATTCTTCATTTGGGTCTAGGGAGGTCATGATTCTCCTCATCTAAGTGGGTACTCATAAGGCATCTTGTGATTTCCCAGAGTAGAAAATCCACCCACTTCCTAGTCTCTGTGTCCAAAAGCCATTCCCAACTCAACATATAAGCTGACATAGAAAATAAAATGAGATAGACCAGAACTCGATTCTTCTGCTAATCCCACAAATAAAATTTTTCATGAGAATCTGAAAAAAATAATAACAGAAGGGGTTGTATTTTTTTTTTTCTTTTTAAAGTGAGAAAGCAGAATTTATTGAGAGGACAGAGAAGCTCCCACAGTGGGAGGGGACCTGAAGGGATTGCCCCTTGGGTTGTATTTTCTTTGGCTATTTCTTAATTCTCTTATAGATCCTGAATTTGACAATAAGTTACACAGAGAAGTCAGATTCCTTTTTTTTCCAACTGAAGTCCATGTGCATGTGAGGTGATCAGGTGGAAAGTGTGAGGAGAGACTAGTTCAAACTTAGATGCAAAACCAAAGAAACCTGCCTATGTGACATATCCCATTTATATAAAAATGTTTGTGAAGAAACTGAAATCTAAACTATTAAAAGATGGCTAGTAAAAAGCTCATACAACATGAACATTGGCAAAGGATCTTAATGGTTTTTAAAAGTGCAAATGTAATTGGTTAATATCTTTAAAAAACATCAATGTCTTCAGTAAAAAAAAAAAAACAACGGCGGCACCTACTAGTGTAGTTACATGGGCACTCCGTTCACTGTTGGGCTTTGGGAAGCATAAATGGCTAACCTCCTTTGGAAAACAGTGTGATGATAAATCCTACACTGTCAAAAATATCCAAATACTTTTGATTTAGTGATTTTTACATCTGGGAATCTATCATAAGGAATGACCTCAAAATGCAGAAGACAGCTTTTTCGCAAAGAAAAAATGTGCTTAGTGGCATGACGTATAAAAGCAAGAAAACTTAAACAACTAAAATAGTCATCAGTATGGGAATGGCTAAATAAACTACCATAGCGTCTCAACAGAATACTGTATTAACACTGATTTATGCAACCATTTTAGATGATATACATTATAAATAGTTGGAGAACATGGGAAGATGCTAAGATCTTGCCATAGACAAAAAAAAAAAAGTTGAATACAAAGTTGCATATTGAATATATGTATCTTTCTAAGGTTATCAACAGGTACTTCCTTTGGCTGGACTGCCTGATAAAAATTCAACTTGGTAGCATAAGTAATACTGCATCAGTTTTTTTCCTTTCATTTTAAGCAATGGGCAATTCATTGTTCAAAGATGTGCCAAGGTTAATTGGTTTCATATTTTGACCAGCAATGCAATCTTTGGATGTTGAGCTGAGTTGGTCCTAGAAATAATTTCTCAATGTTCTCAGATACTTTAGGATATCTTTAGCCATATGCAAACATGTGTCATTGCTCCAATTCACCACACTTCCAGTTTGAGGATCTGGGTCTGTTCAAGACTGTGCAATATGTAAGTTGTATAATTTCTTTCAGGAGGTGGTGAAAATGTCTTGGTCCTAGACAGAATTCAAAGGGAAGCAGCTTCTCTTGCATCTGTGACTGAGAATTTACATAGGCCTTGAGAGGAAAGGCAAGTGTTAGGCAAAGAAAGAAAAAAAATACATCTTGAATCTCAGACCAGGGATAAAAATTCATCCACATAGCTTCCCACACCTGTATGCACAATTTTCCACTTGATTTCTCAGGACGGAGTCAAAACTGTCTGAGAGCTTCACTGACCTCTTTGTGACAGACTGTGCAGAGAGTCTGCAGATTGTCCAGGGAGCACTGTCCTCCTCCCCCGTATACTGGTTTAATGTGATCCACCTGCCAGAAATGTCCTTCCCCTGGGTTTCTTATCATTTCATTTAGCTGCAATAAGGGCACAAGATCAGCAATTTTCAACATACACTGTGGGAACTGTTGGTTTGGCATTGTGCAGACATGTTTATACAGCAAAATCATGGGGAAAAATACATTAGGATGGCTTTTTATAGCTTTTATTGTAAGTAGAAAAACCCTCTGGGTTAGCAGTTTGAAAGCAATAAAATGTATCTCTGAAAAAGTTTTTTTCCCCCTTACCTAACCTCTTTGAAAAAAATACCAAGACTCATGACAGTTGGGAACAATTGGTTTTCTGCACCTTTAAGTTAGTTTACATATTTATTTACAAAACCAAAGCTATGAAAAAGAATAAGAACAGACTGGAAATTTAAAACTTCTCAATACTACTGATTCAAATTATCTTTAGTTGTTGACCAAAATACATCTGTTATTATATCAGTGGCAGTTTAATAGCTATCACCCTGGAACTTTTATACTATTCGCCAGAGAATTTTCCAAGTTACATGGACTAGAATGAAATTTCTATAACAAACTTCTGCAACTTGTATATTTGGAATAGACAAGGTATCCATTTAAAGTAGCCACTATTTAGTCCATATATACCCACTTTATATTTAACCAACAATAGCTACATTAAATTGGGATGTATTTTAACATTTTATCTGTGGTAGTAAAAGCAACTCACACCATGGCAGTGTAGTTGTTTAATATCATAAAGATGAGTATGACACCTGTGCTTATTCCCTTGGTCTTGGACAAGGAAGAAATTATCATCAGCTTCATGATTATAGGCCATGGGACCCCATGATTATTTCTAAAGCACGTTTAAGAAAGCCTGTCAGGCACAGAGACCTGATCAATAGTGCTGGCCCATGAGGAGCAACAAGAGGCAGCAAGCTGGAGCCGTAAACATTTTCTAGCTGACTGCTTTTGGTGCCTGCCTTACTTTCTCTTCTGTGCTGAATTCCCTAACCTCTGTTAAAAGATACATACTGACATTTGTGTTTGAGGATGCCATTGTCAGAGCAACTATAAACGGCAGGCCTGTGCATCAAGCAATGGCACAGTCTTAGACAAAAATTCATTTTGGTTCTGCCTTTTATGACCAACTGCTCCTCTGGCAGAATTGATGATCCAGAAGGTGCTGCTTTAGTTTTTTCCTAGTAAGTGTATGGCAAGTGACTTGGGGCCAAGCTTTAACAACTTTTGAAAGAATCACTCCTCTCCGACTGGTCCTTCCCAGTCTGAGCTCTGTGGTGTTCTTTACCCCCAGAGAATGTCTGTTTTGGATGCCTGTTATGCTACTTCTGCATTCCTGGAAAGACTGCTTTCAAAATGACCCTTATTCATTTCATTGTGTGTCTTCTAGAGGCTTTCACCCTGAGGCAGCAGTAAATGCAGTTTAACTGGAATGGGTACATTATGTCCCTTACTGATTAAACCAAGGGATCTTTTGGGGGAACGTTAGATATAATTAGTGTATTTCCCTAGTTCTTAAAGATTTGCTAATTCATCTTTGCAGAAATGTTTATTAATTTATTTTATCATAATTCAGCAATACTGTCCTAGGTAAATAAAATAAACAACTTGTCTAATTGGCAGGAATTCATCTCGTATTTTAGTAGGCAGAAAGTGACTCAGAAAGTGATCCTTTGAAGTTAAGCACACTCTAAAAATTACACATTTTGCTTTAGTTTGAAATTTAGAACCATTGTCTAGAATTTCTTTTAAAATATTCCAGGATAAAAATAGAAGTCAAAGGACAGAAGAAAACGAATGACAAAATGATAACTATTAAAGTTGGGTGATGGGTTTAAGGGTTCATTATTCTTTCGATTTTTATAAATATATTTGAAAATTCTAATATTAAGAAGTTAAAAAATAGGCTGGCTGCAGTGGCTTATGTCTACTACACTCTCAGAAATTTGGGAGGCTGAGATACGAGGATTGCTTGAGCCCAGGAGTTTGAGACCAGCCTAGGCAACATAGTGAGAATCTGTCTCTAACATTTTTTATAACAAAAAAAGTTGGCAGGGCTTGGTGGCTCATTCTGTAATCCCAGCGCTTTGAGAGGCAGAAGTGAGTGGATTGCCTGAGTCCACGGGTTTGAGACTAATCTGGGCAATTTGGTGAGACCTCATCTCTACAAAAAATAAAAAATTAGCCAGGTGTGGTAGCACATGTCTGTAGTTCCAGCTACCTGGAAGGCTGAGGCGGAAGGACGGCTGGAGTCCAGCAGGTTGACACTGGGGTGGCTGGGAGTGTGCCACTGCACTCTAGCCTGGGCAACAGAGTGAGACTCCAACTCAAAAAAATAAAGTTAAAAAACAAAGTTAGTGAGTCAATATTTCACTCAATACAATGCTGCCTTCTATCTGTTACATTATTATAATTTACCTGTTCTAACGGTAGCTTTGAAGTCCAGGTAGCATCCAGAAGATTCTTCCTCTGACTTTTAGGGGCATCTCTCAGACGTAAATAGAGTTCTTGTGCATTCACATTACAAAGCTGACATACACCATGTTCAGTTTCAAATACTTTGGCTCGCAGGTAACTGTTATTAGATCGAATCCAAAATTCTTCCTGACATTTCAGAGAGCAAAACCGTGAATCCCAAGCGTTCGCTTTACACGCTTGCTTAGTTTGGCAAGTGGGCTGCTGACAGCGAAGGCAAAGTGGACTTCCTTCATTATCCACGGCCTGCAAATAGCCTTTGGATGTAGAAGGATTCTCAGCGAGATCAGCTTGGGCAGCGCAGGAATTTTGAATTGGGACAAAGGTTTCATCTTCAAGGAACTTTCTAGAATTGAACAAAGCACTGAATAGGTAACTAATGAATGGTGAATCTAAACAGTCACAGCTTCATATAAAGGCATCAATATTTCTATATTGATAAACAGTAAATACAAATCAGTGCGCAAATGAAATAGCTATAGTCAGCACTCTATATTCCATGTCAAATAAAGAAGAGTGGTGTGTTAAAAAAATTAATTTGAATATAAATATGCTGCCTCTTTTGGGAATTCAGATGGCTTCATGTTAATCAATCAGACTTTGAAACAACTGGAGAAGTTTGAAAATGAGAAGTTAAAAAATGCTTCGTCATGCTGGGAAAGAACAGGCTAATGTAAAAGCCCAGCTGAAGGTTAATGGCTACCCTGCTCTATAAATGTGTGGGGCCACACACCTCAGAGAGGTCAGAGAGGTCATTACAAACTCTTTCCTCTAGCCTTTGCTAGCTCACAGAAAACAGTCTTCACAGCCATAAAGAGACAGTGAAGCAGCTAACAGTGCTGATAGGAATTAGAACAGAAGACTTGCTCGGTATTGTGTTTCCTACAGGGAAACTCAGAGTTTACTGAATTAAAATTAGAAACAAAACATGAAAGGACATGTGCTCAATTTGTTAGAATAAAGGAAAAAGGTACACTATTCAATTTTGTTGAAAGGTCTTACATGGGAAGCAACGATAGCTACTTTGCCTGTTTCCCATGGTTATTTGTTAGAGGAGTTGAAAGAAAGACTTCTGATCATAGCAAGAGCTCAAGATTGTGAGACAGAGCTCACAACTGATCTTAGGTCTTCTCTCAAGCTTGGTCTACTACTAAGCCCTGGGGCAGGTCACTTAGTCCACCTGGTCTCAGGGTCCTTCCTCATCTCTAACTTCTAAGACGAGGACCCCATCTGCCCATTTTAAATAGTTATCAACATTTTGGCACTCATTTTCATCTGTCTTTTGACTTCTTTTTTTATTCTAGGATATTTTAAAACAAATTCCGAACAGGAAGATCGAAGAGCTACTGCATTGTGAAAGATCTTTGTAACCTCTCAAGTATTCACACAAAGGGTAGGCATTACTACAAAAATCAATACGTACATTTAAAGGAGTAGTCTTAGTACTAGTGTGTCCTAATAATAGAACACAAATAAAAAACCTTACTTTGTGAAAGGATCCCTTGGCCTGGACTCCTTTGTGATCAGACGAACATGGCCACCTGCATTCTTCACCTTGGTCATTGAGGCTATGGCAACATCTTCTCTGGTTATGTATCTAAAACAATAACATGTTAAACAGATTCCCTCTCTCTCTCTCTCTCTCTCTCTCTCTCTCTCTCTCATATAAGAGTTTCTCTATTTCATGTCCACATTGCTCCTTGCAAAAGCAATAGGAGAAGCAAGACACAATTCTATGACTTATGTGAATACTCAAGTTAGAAAATGAAATTTTCTCCCTTTACATTGGTGTTCATTATGTGGCAAATATATCTTTGTTCCAAATTAGTTTTCTCAAGATTTATTTTTCTAAGAAATTCAAGTGTCAGTCAATATCCTTTGGACCGATTTTCATTTAGGGGATAAAAGAGTGGGTATGAGAATAAGAAACGATCAAACACATACACAACTGACAGCCTTAAGCAAACTGCTTGGAAAGCTGTGCAGAAAATCTCTAACAGCATCTTTACCTCCCCCTTGGCCTTCCTTTCAAGACCTTCCCAAATCACCTCAGTCAGTTATAATAGTGTATCAGTATATTTGGGTAATGTGATTCTCTTTTTAGTTAACTAGGTTCAATCACATCTTCTATAATCTCAAGGTTGTTCCCCTTATTATCAGCCCATAAAGGCTTTGGAATCTTCTACTGAAATAAAGCCACTCTTAGGTGGGATTCAGAACCTTATTATACAACACTAACAATTCCACACAATAGTTTAGGGACTGGAAATAAAGAGGAAAGTTATTCCAATTAAAGGTGGCAGGGGAATTTAAGTAGGTGAAACGCAATTACCCAATTAATTCCTTCTAATTAATTGGCCCAGTTTCTCTGGTAGTTTACAACTATTGTAGATTTTTTTTGAAATTAGTTTAAACACAAATTTCTTCATCTTTCTGAGTGCTTCTTCATTTGGTTGCTTGATAATAAAATTAAAGTTGAATCACAATGGAATTATGAAATTGTAGGTAAAACTTTAGAAATGTGTTTTAATGTTATTAAGGTAGATTCAGTAATAAACATATGTCCTTCTTTTTATAAACTATTTTATTACTTTTTGAATAGGTAATATACACACATGGTTCCAAATTCAAAAGGCAAACAACAGTGTTTATGGTGAAGAGCAAGTTTCCCTCCCATTTCTGTTCTTTTTTTCCCCTCCCCCAAAGCTACGTCTGCTGACAGCTTTAATATATCCTTTTAGAAATAGTTTGTTTTTATCTGAGTATAGGTATATGCCTTTTATTTATTTATTTTTCATTTTTATTGACATACAATTCACAAGGCATAAAATTCACCAGGTTAAAGTTTACAATTCAGTAACATTTTATATTAACAAAACTATGCAATCATCACCCCATCTATTCCAGAACATTTTCATTACCCACAAAGAAATCTGTACCCATTATAATTATACTTATATACTATAGAGCACTACATATAAATATACTATACATAGCACTCACTTCCTATTATATCTTTTATTTTTATAAATACATGATAGCATAGCATATACACAAATCCTTACCTTGCTCTTTTTACCTAAACATACTTCTCAGAAATCTTTCTGTATTATGATACAAAAATCTATTAAAATCAATACATACATTTAAAAGAGTAGCTTTCCTATTCTTTTTAATAGTTCCAAGTTATTCCATTATTTGGATAAACTATTTAATATATTTAGCCAGTCTCCAATTAATGAGCAGTTAGGCTGTTTCCAGTCTCTGCTATCACAAACAATGCTGCAATAGATATCCTTATTCATTGTATTTTCTACAAATTAAGTATATGTAGAACAAATTTCCAGCAGTAGAATTCCTGGGTCAAAGGTCTTGGGTGCTGTAAATATGGGTGGATTTTGACAAATCACTTTCTTCTGCGGTTGCATCAGTGTACGTGTCCACCAGCAATGGAAGAGAGTATCTGCTTATTTACATTTTCACTAGCACAATGCCATTAAAAAAATCTCTGCTAATAGTGGTAGGTGTCTCATAATAGATTTAACTGTGTATTCCTCCTATTAAGAGTAAGGATGAATATCTTTCCATGTTTGCATTTTCACTTGTGTTTCATTCTTAAAAAGTCAAAAAAAAGTTACAGTAAATTCTTTTAGAGTTCTTTAATTTGCCCTTCTAGTTCCTAATCTTCCTCCTAGCCCAGTCTCTACTCCAATGATTTCTTCAACCATTTTGAAAAACATGCTTTGCCAAAGTATTTCTTCAACCATTTTGAAAAACATGCTTTGCCAAAGTATTTCTGTGGATTCCAAATGAACTCAAAAGCTTCCTAGCTTTGAGGGGCAATGGGATATTAAGCTTTGCCTCAGGTATTATTCAATGTTTAAAAGTTTAGAAACCGAATTCAGTAACGTTAAAAGATGCTGATAAATCTAGTCAGAGATTTAGAAACTAAAAATAACCTCTTGTTTTCCTACAAGAGATTTAAGTATACATTTTTGGAAACCCACAAGAAACAGATCAATCAACTCCAAAGAAGGGAGTTGACAACTTTTCAAATCTAGTTGTAGGCTGCCAATATTTAATTTTTCATTGAGGTTTACTAGGGAATTCACCAATTCTCAAAAAGATTATGGTAACTCCCAATTTCGGTAAATAGGAAAGAGAGAATATTGTCTCCCAACCTAGTTCCTGGATAGGGATGGGAGTGGAAGACGGCAATTTTTGTAAGAGAAGAATGTGCATTGGAAAATAGCCCACATCAATGAACATGATCCTGGGTTCTGGGTTGTTAACCCGCTTTGGAGATCAGCTGTGGCTACAGGGTGAAATAGTTAGCATCCTAAACATGACTGGGTTCCAAGTGAATTAGGTCTGCCTCTGAGAAATGGAACTCACTCAGTAACCGAAACATAGCTGGTGATCTTGACGTTCTTCAAATTCAAGAGTGAGTTACTCAAAACCTGACTGCAGGCTCTGAGGCTGGATGGAGCCTGCAAACTGGTGGATGTCACCAGAGAATAATCTGGTTGGAGGACTGGCTGTTGTTTTGGGGTGATGCCCAAAGTCAGTATTTACATGTCTTTTCTGGGAACCATTCAATATTTTTAAGAGAGAAATCTTTGACCCTCCTGCATAGGAAGTAAAAGGTAGCAATTAGCATCCTGAAGGCGGGGGGGAGGGTCTGGGAGTTTTTATTTTCAAAACAACACCTCTCTTTATCTCCACCAATCCTGATGTTTCCAAGTCTGGAGGCTCTCTCGTTCAGTTTCCTTAGAAAGTAGCTGATAGGACAGTGGTAAGGAGGGGAATCCAGTGTCTAACGGACTTCCAGTCAATGCTGTTGTTAGCCCCATCTTTCACACCTGCTTCCAGAAATACATGGCTACTCCAAATTACTGAAACACAGACCACTGGGCTCTGTGGCAAGAATCAGAATGCTCTCTGCTAGTGCCTCCACTCTGAAGGTACATAGGTTTCACTTCACAGCTTTGCTAAGTCGGTTTCCCTGAAGGTCTCCCTCTCTGTTATCAGTCACCAAGGACTCTAGCTATACCTCCTTAATAGCTCTCTTCATTCTCTTTCCTTGTTTCCATTGTTAATGCCTTAATACAGACCGTCATTATTTTTGTCCAGGCCTACTACAATAGTCTTTTAACTTGGGTGGCAGGCAGAATTTTTAAGATACTCCCTCGAATTCCTGTCCCCAGATCATTAAATTAATCACTAATCTAGGTAATGCTATAAAAGGACTTTGCAGATGTAAATAAGTTACCAATCAGCTTGCCCTAAAATAGAAAGGTTACTGGGTGGGCCCAGTGTAATCACAGAGCCCTTAAGAGCAGAAGTGGAAAGCAGAGAGATTCTAACCAAAGCGGAATTTGATACACTCTGAGATGTAGGTGACCATATTCTAGGACAGAGAGAAACTTCTGGGAGTTGATAGTGGCCCCAGCTAACAGCCAGCAACAAATGGGGACCTCAATCCTAAAACTGCAAGGAAATGAGTTTTGCCAACAATCTTAGTGACCTTGGAGGTGAATTCTTATCCAAGTCTACCAACTAGAGCCCAGTTGGCCAGCACCTTGATTTCAGCTTCTGTGAAAGCTAGAGCATTACTAGAAAACTAGTAAGAGCCAATTTGGACTTCTGACTTACAGAATTGTGAGATAAGGAATGTGTGTTGTTTCAAGCTGCTAAATTTGTGGTAATTTGCTATGGCAACAATAGAAAATGAATGTAACTCGTCTCCCCACTTGGAGTATTGCACTTAAAAAATTTTTTTAATTAATTAATTTGTTTAAAAGAGGCAAGATCTTGCTATATTGCCCAGGCTGGTCTTGAACTCCTGAGTTCAAGCAATCCTCCCAACTTGGTCTCTCAAAGGGCTAGGATTACAGGTATGAGCCATTGCACCTGGCCGAGTCTTGCACTTTTTGATTTCATCTCCCAACTTCTGTCAGAGCTAGCTCCTAAAAGTATAAATTTCATTATTCAATCTGCTGCTTGTTAGCACAAGTTATATCCTCAATATATTATCTATACATAATTTTATAAATAACACTGTGTCTGACTTTGGTTTGTATGGATTTTGTGAATTTACTTTTGCTTTTACACGTGACCAGTCACCTTTCCCAGCTGGTACTTTAAGTGGTCATCCATGTATGATGGAGAAAAAACAATAGGACATGTCTAGAAATAGCTAGAATTATAATCATGTAAGAAAGACGTATTTTAAGCCAGGTTCGGTGGCTCAGCCTGTAATCCTCCGCTTTGAGAGGCTGAGGTGAGTGGATTGCCTGAGCCCACGGGTTCGAGACCCACCAGGGAAACTTGGCGAGACCTCATCTCTACAATAAATAAAAAATAAGCCGGGCATGGTAGCGCATGCTTGTAGTTCCAGCTACTTGGAAGGTTGAGACGGGAGGATCGCCGGAGCCCCGCAGGTCGAGGATGCGGTGGCCAGGAGCAGCCACTGCACTCCAGTCTGGGTGACAGTGTGAGATTCCAACTCAAAAGAAAAAAAAAAAAAAAGAGGTATTTTAATACTTTTACTAAGACTATGGTTACAAAAATGAGAAAAATGGAGAGGACTGGTAG